AGCTCTTCTGTTCCTTATTTTTTAAGCCATGTGCATGTATTTTAAACTGGGATAGCAGAGGGAAAAAATTTCTATTTATACTTCAAGACCCAGATCTAATGTGGTGCCAACTCCCTCGTTAAATGAGAACTCACTCTCCTATGCTACTCAAGCACTAGGTTCTCTGTAATCAAACCTCTCAAACTTTACACATCTATTTATGAATCTCTTCCATTACCCAAAATTATTTAAAGGTAAAGGCAGTATTTATCTTTGCTACCACATCAAATCTTTAATAACTGTTGAATGAATAAAAATATAAATTACTTTTTTTAGGTCAAAGGCTTTGGGAAGCTGCCAGATCAGGGTCTGATTTCCAAGCCTTTCACTAACCAGCAATGAGACCTCATGTGACCTCAGATACATTATCTAACCTTTCTGACCGTCAGCTTTTTCTGTATCTATTCTAAAGAGTTGTGAGTTTGAAATAACACACTGCAACATTCCTAGCGCACTACCAAATGCACACTGAAATGTTCAACTCTTTGGTGCCATAGTGAACATGTTAATACTTAGCTAAGTAGGTTAATAAAGATTACTGAAAACAATGCCATATCTCTAAGGTTATCTTCTGTTTGTTTCCAGGACCATACAGGGGTTGACAGGAAGGCAACAACACATAACAGATTCCTTAATAGCTGATTCCATGCTTAATGCAGGAAATGTTTAAGATGAATGTGGAACATCTTATTATACCAGCTAACAAAGGAAGATATCAAAGGCAAATGATATCTGTTTCATTTCACATGAAAATTAATTTCAAAAACTCAAATGAATAAGAGAATTCTACTCCTAGCTAAGATGGAATAGCTTGTGGTAGATCAACTTTCATATCAAAAACAACCATGAGAGCTGGATAAATCTCTTAAAAATCTGAAGACATCAACAGACTGCTGAAGCAAAAAGGGCTTAAGCATCAAGATCCTGGGGAATGATGAATCTCAGGTGGGTGAGCCAAAAGTCTGGCCTCTTTTATCCTTTGGTCATTTACTGATTCTAGGCATAGCATAAGAGACTGAGGATCCAGATAAGGACACAAGCAATGGGCAACTGCTAAGAGACAGAGAAACCAGCAGAGGTCTTGGTGGTCTCAAAGGGCACTGAAAGACAAAAATCAGATTTTTTTAGCATATTGAATATGAGGGAGGGGTGTGGAACTTAGTAAACTACTCAGACTGTTTACCCATTAGGACATTTTCTAAAATCTGAAGCCATGCACAATGGAAGATTAAGAAGCTAAGCAGAAAACATCTGGGAAAAACATGGATTTGGGGGGCAGTGTCTAGATACTGAGGATACAAGGATTAGAAGTGTAGAACTGCCAGTGAGACAGATCCAGGGAACACTCTAGGCTGTCAACTAAAAAATCCCTGGTGGACTATATCCTGTAAGGGGGTATTGGGGCCCAGGGTAGGCCACTCCAAAATGCACCTCAATGGCATATTGATTATTTTGAATCAAAGTTACTTAAGAAATAGACATCACAAGGGGGACACTCTGACCCTCCTTTCTGTCTCCCCGAAAGCAGGAAGTAAATCTCTCATGTGAAAGGTGCCCTCCTTACATCTGGAGGTAGAAGGATACCCTTATCACCAGAGTTAGTGATATCATTATCATGCAGACTGAGGAGCCTGCATAAATCTTGTTACTTATTTAATTTACCACCCTAAGTTCAAATTCTGTTTAGATTTTTTATTAATTGAGCACCCAAGACCTAAGTTTCTTTGTCCTGCCAATGCTTCACAACTTTATTGTTTCTTTGTCTAAAAGGTATAAAAGCTGCCTGCTTTGTCCACTTCTTAGATCCCATTTCTATGAGACCTTTGTATGCATGATTTAAAATGTTTTTTTCTCCTGTTAATCTGTCTTATATCAATTTTATTATTATACCAGCCACAAGAACTCAAGAGGAGCAGAAGGGGAAATTTTCTCCTCCCTGACAGGGGATAACAAGGGTAAACTAGAGGTAGTGTCTGAAGAAAACTGCAACCCAGCCTTAATTAAGTCAGCCCAAGCCCTGACTGGATTAAGGTGATCAGTCCTCACTCTGCCTAGTAGGAGAGTGGTGTAGGAGGTTATCACCATCCAGAGCCTCTGTAATTTGTCATACACAGTGTCCAGCATTCAATCAAAAATTATCAGGCATACCAACAGAATGGACCAAATGACCAGAAACCACAGGAAAAAAAAGACAATAGAAAGAGATACATAGAAAATCTAAATCATGGAGTTATCAGACAAGAACTTTAAAATAACTGATTCACTAGTTAAAGAAAAACATGGTGAAAACAAAAGGTAAATTCCCCAGAGAATTAGAATCTATTAAAAAAAACTGAAAAGACATTCTAGAACTGAAAAATAGATGAATGAATTAGAAGACAGATTAATAGAAAATATCTAGTCTGAAGCACAAGGGAGAAAAAGAATGGAAGATACAGAAAAGGAGACATAATGAAACACAATGAAAATCCAGATTACTGGGACCCCAGAAAGAGAGGAGAGACAGAAAATGAGACAGAAACAATATTTGAATAATGTCCGAGAAACTTTCAAAACCGATCAAAGACATCAACCCACAAATTCCAGAAGCTATGTAAATGCCAGGCCAGAAAATAAAAAGAGAAACTCACACTAGGTACATCATAGTAAAACTAGTGAAAACCGAAACAAAGAAAAATTTTTTAAATCAGATAGTAGGGAGGGGGTGGGGGGTAAATTACTTTCAAAAGAGCAACAAAATGACAAGATCGCTGAATTTTCAACAGAAATAGTATAAAGACAGAAAAGAATGGAATTACATCTTTAAAGTGGTTAAAAAAAAACTCCTAGATATATTTAATAGAAATGAATTAGTATATAAGACAGTTGTAAAAATTACCCAAAAACATAGCATAGATACTAAAAATATGAAAGACAGCTTAAGAGATAAGAATAGTACAATATACTCTAATTTACATTTAACCAGAGTTCCAGAAGGAATGCAGAAAACATTGAAAGAGAAAAGGATTGAATAATTATCCCAAACTGATTAAAGATACTACTGCACAGATTTAAGAAGCCCAAAGAATCTCAAACAGGACCAAAAACAAACAAACAAACCCACCTAGCTTGCCAGTAATTTTTGTTGTTTCTCAGCTCTAAACTCATTTTTCTATACTCTGCTGTTATACTGGAGTTACAACTCTCTATATTTCTCAGATTCCCTTACTAGCTGGCTTCCTGTTAGGTTCTGATGGTGGAAGGCACTAGAGGGAGATTGCATGGCAGAAGATAGGTAACAGTTGCCCTAGAGCCAGTGATTTTTTGCATGAGAGAGAGTTTTATACATTAAGCCACTGATATTTAGCGATTATTTTATTACTCTAGCATTAGCCTAGCCTAGCCTAATAAAATATGTAAAAAGAATCTTTTTAAGTAGACCCTTGCACCTCATATACAAAAATAAAACCTAGGTATATTAAAGATATAAATGTAAAAGATATGACTATAATGATTTTAGAAAAGAATATAAGAAATATCTTCATAATCTTGGGATACAGAAGAATTTCTTAAACAAGACATAAAAACCATAAACCAAAAAGAAAAAGCTTGATAAATTTGACATAGAAATGAAGAACTTTTGTTCATCAAAAGACAGAACTAGGAGTGAAAAGACAAACTAGAAAAAAGATATTTGCAAAACATGTAACCAGCAAAGAGCCTGTGTTCCTAATATATTAAAAATTCCTGTGAATTAGTAAGAAAAAGACTTTAATAGACAAAGATGAAACCTAAAGACTAATAAACATACAAAAAGGTGTTCAATGTCAATAATCATGTTAAAATAGATAACACTATACACATAACAAGCTAGCTAAAATGCAAAAGTATGATAATACCAGATACTGGAGAAGGCTGGGATAACAAGAACTCTTTATTTACTCCTGGTGACAATATGCATAACCATGGTGGAATACATTATATGGTAAAGTTGAAGACACATCTACTTAGACTCAGAATTTTCACTTCTAGAAATACGTTCTACAGAAATGTGTTTATTTGCACCAGAAATCACATATAAAAATGCAATGGCAGCCTTATTCATAATATAAAAGACTGAAACCAACTCAAATGTCTATCAACAGTATATCAGCTATAATATGGTGCTGTCCTACCAAATACACTAACAGAACTGAACTACACGAGTTAACATAAACTACAGCTGCACAATAACATGAATGAATCCTAGAAACAACTGTCAAATAAACGAAGCCAAACACCCCCCAAAGTATACTGATTCCATTACAAAAGTTTCAAAATAAGGGAAAACAAAATTTTTATTTATTTTTTACTATTTATTTAGTAATAAAATTTTTATTTTTAAATAAATTTTATCTAAAATAAAATTTTTACTTATTATTTTTTATTACTATTTATTTAGGGATATAGACACATATAGTAAAACTACAAAGAAAAGCAAAAGCATGACTACCACAAATCACTGGACAATGGTTACCACCGAGGTATTGGGGGAAGGTCAGAAATGTGATCATGGAGGGACTCACAGCAGGTCCTGAGGTGTAAATTTGAAAATAATCTCTTCTCTAACCCAGGTGATGGTGACATGGGTGCTCGTGCTCACCTGCATATTCTTTAAACTGTACATCTATGTATCACAAACAATTGTGTGTATATCTCAAAATTTTAAAGTTAGAAATTTCAAATTATAACAGCATCACAATCATGGACATACATGATCTCTATGTTCTCTGAGATGCAAGGAGGGACTGTCTCCCTTACTTTGCAGAAAGGACACTGAAGCTTAGAGAAAAAATAAGTGTTGAAACCTGGTCTAGAACATAACATCAGGTTTGCCACTCAAGTATTCATTACCTAGATTCTGCCCGTACAGAGAAGATGCATAGGAAATGGTAAACTTGGTAAAAGCTCCCCGTCTTAAAAAAATACTCCAAATAAGGCTCTTTAAGGCTTCTGGCAGGGACATTTTATTTTTTGGTTAAAGCCACATTAATAGAAATTCCATAAAAACAAGCATGTAAACAAGGTATCAGAACTTTGGTTCACTGAAACATCTCACACCTAAAGCACCTGAGGTACAAAAGCACCTTGCTAGGTACTAGACCACCTGACTCGGCTCCAGCCCTACCCTTGCGGCCAGAGATAGCTGACTGGTGAGGCTGGGACCCAGGTCACCCAAGTCACCCAGGACCTTCCCCAGGACCATCTCTGCTCCAGACAAACATTCACACCTCCAAAGACCCGCCTGACAAAGGCTGGAAAGTAGAGGGGGTCTGTCACGTTGAACTTGAAGACAACATGGGCTGTGGGGCCAGGGAGGTGAAGGGCAGAAAAGGATGTCAGTCAACTTCTGTTGATCCACATGGCCTCAAGAACTCCTGTCCTCGTTCATGGAACCACTTATTGGAGACTGTGAACAGATAGAAAGTATGTTACAATCCTGTTGGTTCAGCAGCCAAAATTAATGATTCCTTCTTGATGACTCCTACACTGGGCCTGGGAATCAGACATGAGTAAGACTTGGTTTCGGGCATCAAGTTGCTTATGAGCTGGTGAGGAAGAGAGATAATTGTACAAAACTCTGTCAGTGACACGATACATGTGTGTAGGTTGCCATGGAAACAGAGCCAAATGGCATCTAACCATGTCGGGGAAGAGGAAACCCCAGGGCTGGGATTCCCTGAATAGGAGTTATCCAGGGAAGAAGATGGACAGAACAGGTGGTTCCTATACCAAGGGGGTCTAGGAAGTGGGAACAGCATGAGAAAGACATCAAGGCATGATCCACGCTGCTATGTGTCAAGGACCTCAACAAGTCTGATATTACTGGGATGTGGTGGGTGGGAACTCAGAGGTAAGAGACGAGGAAGCCTGTCAGGATTGTGGAGGGCCTGGATGTCAATCTCAGGAGCTCTGGGCCGGCAGATCAATCTTGTGTTCTGTGGGTAGCAGAGAAGCAGAGCTGATGCTAGCACTATCACCTAAAGTTGTGTCTTAAATGCTCACAAACCACAATTTCACTTCTCAATATAGACCCTTTCATAATGAATGAAAAAACAAATTGCTTTTAATGTACTAATGAAGTCATAGTACTTTTAAAATACAATTAATAATAACTAATTTTTGTAAAGTAATACACGTACTTAGTTGAAAAAATCAAATTATTCTACAAGGCTTATAATGATAAATAACAATCTCCTACCTACTCCTTCCCACCACCAATCCCCACTTCCTCTAACATTCAACTCTTATTTCTTCTGATATTTATCCTCATTTTTCTAAAACATAATGTTATTTCTTGACTTCCAACTTTAGATCTTATATGTTGACAGTCTACCATAGAATATGGAGATTTGGAATTTTTTACACCACTCTTAAAATACATAGATCCTGGCTTCTCTGATGGCGCAGTGGTTGAGAGTCCGCCTGCCAGTGCAGGGGACACGGGTTCGTGCCCCGGTCTGGGAACGTCCCGCGGGCCGCGGAGCGGCGGGGCCCGTGAGCAATGGCCGCTGAGCCTGCGCGTCCAGAGCCTGTGCTCTGCAACGGGAGAGGCCACAACAGTGAGAGGCCCACGTACTGCAAAAAAAAAAAAAAAAAATACATAGATCCCCCTCCCATCCCCCAATATAGTTAAATCACAAGTTCTAGTTAACTTAATATTCAGTATTTACATTATTATGTCATGTAAATATTACTCACACTTGAGCTACCAAATAGATGATACAGCTTACCCTTGAACAACACGTTTGAACTGAGCGAGTCCACTTATATGCAGATTTTTATCATTAGTAAATACTACAGTACTACATGATCTGCAATTGGCTGAATTTGCAAATGCAGAACCTTGGATATGGAGGAACCGTGCATATGGAGAACCAACTATAAATGAGACACGGGGGCTTCCCTGGTGGTGCAGTGGTTGAGAGTCCGCCTGCCAATGCAGGGTACACGGCCCCAGTCTGGGAAGATCCCACATGCTGCGGAGCAGCTGGGCCTGTGAGCCATGGCCGCTGAGCCTGCACTACGCAATGGGAGAGGCCACAACAGTTAGAGGCCCGCTTACCGCTTAAAAAAAAAAAAAAAAAAAAAAAAAAGAGAGAGAGACACGGATTTTCAGCTGTGCAGAGGGTCAGCACCCCTAACCCCTGCTTTGCTTTTTGGGTTTTTTTTTTCAACATCTTTATTGGAGTATAACTGCTTTACAATGGTGTGTTAGTTTCTGCTTTAAACCAAAGTGAATCAGCTATACATATACATATATCGCCATATCTCTTCCCTCTTGTGTCTCCCTCCCTATTCCACCCCCTAGGTGGTCACAAGGCACCGAGCTGATCTCCCTGTGCAATGTGGCTGCTTCCTACCAGCTATCAGTTTTACATTTGGTAGTGTATGTATGTCCATGCAACTCTCTCACTTTGTCCCAGCTTACTATTCCCCCTCCCCATGTGGTCTCAAGTCCATTCTCCAGTAGGTCTGCATCTTTATTCCCATCCTGCCCCTAGGTTCCTCATGACCTTTTTTTTTTTTAGAATCCATATATATGTGTTAGCATACATTACCTGTTTTTCTTTCTGATTTACTTCACTCTGTATGACAGACTCTGTGTCCATCCACCTCACTACAAATAACTCAATTTCATTTCTTTCTGTGGCAGAGTAATATTCCATTGTATATATGTGCCACATTTTCTTTATCCATCCATCCGTCAATGGACACTTAGGTTGCTTCCATGTCCTGGCTATTGTAAATAAAGCTGCAATGAACATTTTGATACATGACTCTTTTTGAATTATGGCTTTCTCAGGGTATATGCCCAGTAGTGGGATTGCTGGGTTGTATAGTAGTTCTATTTTTAGTTCTTTAAGGAACCTCCACACTGTTCTCCATAGTGGCTGTATCAATTTACATTCCCACCAACAGTGCAAGAGGGCTCCCTTCTCTCCAGCATTTATTGTTTGTAGATTTTCTGATGATGGCCATTCTGACTGGTATGACATCATATCTCATTGTAGTTTGGATTTCCATTTCCCTAATGATTAATGATGTTGAGCATTCTTTCATGTGTTTGTTGGCAATCTGTATATCTTCTTTGGAGAAATGTCTATTTAGGTCTTCTGCCCACTTCTGGATTGGGCTGTTCGTTTCTTTTGATATTGAGCTGCATGCGCTGCTTGTAAATTTTGGAGATTAAACCTTTGTCAGTTGCTTCATTTGCAAATATTTTCTCCCATGCTGAAAATTATGTTTTCATCTTGTTTATGGTTTCCTTTGCGTGCAAAAGCTTTTAAGTTTCATTAGGTCTCATTTATTTTTGTTTTTATTTCCATTTCTCTAGGAGGTGGGTCAAAAAGGATCTTGCTGTGATTTATGTCATAGAGTGTTCTGCCTATGTTTTCCTCTAAGAGTTTGTTAGTTTCTGGCCTTACATTTAGGTCTTTAATCCATTTTGAGCTTATTTTTGTGTATGGTGTTACAGAGTGTTCTAATCTCATACATTTACATGTACCTGTCCAGTATTCCCAGCACCACTTATTGAAGAGGCTGTCTTTTATCTGTTGTATATTCTTGCCTTCTTTATCAAAAATAAGGTGACGATATGTGCGTGGGTTTATTTTGGGGCTTTCTATCCTGTTCCATTGATCTATATTTCTGTTTTTGTGCCAGTACCACACTGTCTTGATTACTGTAGCTTGGTAGTATAGTCTGAAGTCCAGGAGCCTGATTCCTCCAGCTCTGTTTTTCTTTCTCAAGATTGCTTTGGCTATTTGGGGTCTTTTGTGTTTCCATACAAATTGTGAAATATTTTGTTCTAGTTCCGTGAAAAATGTCAGTGGTAGTTTGATAGGGATTGCATTGACTCTATAGATTGATTTGGGTAGTAGAGTCATTTTCAAAATGTTGATTCTTCCATTCCAAGCACATGGCATATATCTCCATCTATCTGTATCATCTTTAATTTCTTTCATCAGTGTCTTATAGTTTTCTGCATACAGGTCTTTTGTCTCCCTAGGTAGGTTTATTCCTAGGTAATTTATTCTTTTTGTTGCAATGGTAAATGGTAGTGTTTCCTTAATTTCACTTTCAGATTTTTCATCATTAGTGTATAGGAATGCAAGAGATTCTGTGCATCAATTTTGTATCCTGCTACTTTAACAAATTCATTGATTACCTCTAGTAGTTTTCTGGTAGCATCTTTAGGATTCTCTATGCATAGTATCATGTCATCTGCAAACAGTGACAGCTTTACTTTTTCTTTTCCGATTTGGATTCCTTTTATTTCTTTTTCTCCTCTGATTGCTGTCGCTAAAACTTCCACAACAATGTTGAATAATAGTGGTGAGTGTGGGCAGCCTTGTCTTGTTCCTGATCTTAGTGGAAATGCTTTCAGTTTTTCACCACTGAGGACAATGTTGGCTGTGGGTTTGCCATATATGGCCTCTATTATGTTGAGGTAAGCTCCCTCTATGCCTACTTTCTGGAGGCTTTTTATCATAAATGTGTGTTGAATTTTGTCAAAAACTTTTTCTGCATCTATTGAGATGTTCATATGGTTTTTATTCTTCAACTTGTTAATATGGTGTATCCCATTGATTGATTCATGTATACTGAAGAATCCTTACATTCTTGGGATAAACCCCACTTGATCATGGTGTATGATCCTTTTAATGTGCTGTTGGATTCTGTTTGCTAGTATTTTGTTGAGGATTTTTGCATCTATGTTCATCAGTGATATTGGCCTGTAGTTTTCTTTGTGACATCTTTGTCTGGTTTTGGTATCAGGGTGATGGTTGGTGGCCTCGTAGAATGAGTTTGGGAGTGTTCCTCCCTCTGCTATATTTTGGAAGAGTTTGAGAAGGATAGGTGTTAGTTCTTCTCTAAATGTTTGAGAGAATTCGCCTGTGAAGCCATCTGGTCCTGGGCTTTTGTTTGGTGGAAGATTTCTAATGACAGTCTCAACTTCAGTGCTTGTGATCAGTCTGTTTATATTTTCTATTTCTTCCTGATTCAGTCTTGGCAGTTTGTGCATTTCTAAGAATTTGTCCATTTCTTCCAGGTTGTCCATTTTATTGGCATAGAGCTGCTTGTAGTAATCTCTCATGATACTTTGTATTTCTGCAGTATCCATTGTTACTTCTCCTTTTTCATTTCTATTGATTTGAGTCTTCTCCCTTTTTTTCTTGATGAGTCTGGCTAATGGTTTATCAATTTTGTTTATCTTCCAAAGAACCAGCTTTTAGTTTTATTGACCTTTGCTATTTCTTCCTTCATTCCTTTTTCATTTATTTCTGATCTGATCTTTATGATTTCTTTCCTTATGCTAACTTTGGGGTTTTTTTTTGTTCTTTCTGTAATTGCTTTAGGTGTAAGGTTAGGTTGTTTTGAGATGTTTCTTGTTTCTTAAGGCAG